GAGTCGTGTTTATATATATTAACTAATCGATTACGAATTCGAGCGCTTAAAGCTCGACATTTGAACTTTTGTGAACAAAAATGCATTTTTTATGGCGAAAATTCGAAAAAAAAAAAGGTTTTAGAAAAAGTTAAAGCGTATGTTTTTATTCAAAAAAGTATGTCCGTCTTGTGATTAATGACGACACGAAAACGGAAGTGATCGTCTCTATACCAATCAATCGGTTAGAGGAGCGAATTTTGACTCAGACATTTGTAGCTTTCTGAACAAAAAATGCATTTCTTTATTGGTGAAAATTTCGAAAAGATGTTCAAGATTGCTCTGTTATATAGTTTCCAAAAAAATTAAAGCATACGATTTTTTATTCAAAATGTACGTTCATTCGATTTTAAATCGAGGAAAAAATCGATACGAATATTGTATATATGTGTATACCAAAAAAAAGTAAAAGTTCAAGTGAAGGTACGAAACACGAGTATAGGCGACGGGACAATGCAGGAAAAAGCAGAGTGGGTCATGTGCCGAGTGTTTCGAAAGAAAAGCCACATCATCAGCCACAAATCGCTAGCCAACGGCGACGCCGCCAGCTGGCAAGCGGGCCCCACCGTGGACTCGTGTGGCGACGAGACATTGGATCAAATCATCGCCAGCTGGCAAACCACTTGAAACTCCTGAGCCTGCTCGAAACCCAGACCGCCAATTGCTACCAACCGCAAAAACTACTTATAACAACAAAGAATGGTCGCGGAGAAGAAGAAGAAGAAGAAGAAAACCGAGACCATTTTGTGGGTCCCGTATTGAAAAATCGTGAAGACGAGCGGTCGGGAGTTGTTAAGGGCTTGCTTTGTTTATCAAATAATCCATTCAAAATGAGTTTTTTTTTGTTAATTAGAGTTAATTTTAAAAAATGTGGTATTGTTAGTTGTTATTGGAATTTTAATAATGTATTAAAAAATATTTAAAATAAAATGATCATTACTGATTTGATGTGAAAGTAGGAGATAATTGATTGGAAATGATAGTGTTGTCGTATGAATTTGTAACAACATGGGGGGTTCAAAATAGTGTTTGTATTGTCTATATATATCGAATATTTGTGTGAATTCAATGACTTTTTGGAACTAAGGAAAGAACATATATGTATTTTTTCTGTGTAATCTTTTTGAGGAAGGAGGAAAGAAAAAGTCCCCCTTAGCTGCCTGCCTCTGTCCTTATATAAAAGAAAAGGGAAAAAGTAAAAAAGTCCCTTTAAGTCCATTCACACATACATTTTTTTGGGCTTTTACATCTCATGGACTTTGACGTCTAATGGGCCCTTATATATTGGGCATTTACAATATTTTACAAATGTAATAATTTAAATTTGACCGCGCAGGGTCCAACAATAATAAATAATAAAATAAATAATAACTGTGACTGATATTTGTCTTGTCGGCAATTGTTCTATCAGTCGAGGCCGCTTCTTTATGATATCCGGGTCGGGTTGATAACGTTGAATTCTGCTTGGCACGAATACAGACAATCTTGGCTTTTAGGGACTTATTTAATAATAAAATAAATTGAATAACCTGCTATTTTAATATTTATTTAACATATATATTACAGGCGTAGACAAAATTTGATGTCAACAGATAGGTAGTTAAAATTATATGAATGGATGAATAATGAGTTAAAGTTGATGTGATGTGTTAGAATGATTGATTTCTATTATTTAATTATATAAATAATAGTAAGGATAGTTGAGTTGAGTTAGTATGAATTAAATGTGATCAAATTATTTCATAAACATGCGAGCCCTAAGGACTGGGCTGCCCTTGACTGGCTGGTCGCGTCTCATCTCAATTGCCAGGCGTACGATGCAGAAAACATTTGGAAAAATGAGGCGAACGAATTTGCTCGTGAGCAGAGACGGATGTATGTGTGTAACAGGGGGGCCAATGGGTATATAACTTTTAGTATATCTATATATCTATATATATATATAATAATTGATAAGTATATTCTTTTACATATAAACTTACACAATTATATTAAAATAATAATTATATTACTCTTTCTACTAATAATTCAACTACAATTATACTATTTTTACACTTTTGTATAACCTTTTTTCTAGTTTAAATAAATTGAATATATGGTAAATATATAAAAACATATAAATTGGTATTTTTTTGAAAAGAAGACCATATAAGATACGCTTAATGGAAAGAAAAATATCAAAACTATTAGTATTTGAGTCAATCATTAATGAAATTCATGAGTTGTGAGATCGTTCATTCTAAATTTGTTACTGTCAAGGTTTGAACTTTATCATTTATATAGCACTATTATTATATATAATTTTATAATACAATTTTCTATTTTTTATGTACATTAAATTTAATTTATGATTATTAAAAAAAATTCGTCCCCCTCAAAAAAAAATTCTGGATCCGCCCCTGCTCGTGAGATTAATGTTGTCGAAAGCTCTGAAATGAATTTCTGCATTAGTGACAATCTTGAGGAGGATGATGATAAGAATGAGGCATCTAATGAGCTAATTTGGAGCTATGAACGGTACTCTAATGATCAACAGCTCTAAAAGGAATAAATAAGCACTTATTATATATAGTTTGAAAGGAATAAATAAGCACTTATTTTTTTAATAATCTTTTTTAGGTCTCTGTTGTCGTCAGTAGGTGAAGTCCAGTACTTCATGTTTGAATTCGTGCTTGTTTAATAAATGAATCAGTTCGGCTAAAATTGTTTGATATATTGCGAGCTTGAGTTGGGCTCGTGTAAGCTCGATTTGGACAGACTTGGCTCAAGTCGTTTAGAAAGAAGTAAATGGTTCGATTCGTTAAAACTCAAATGCCAATTTATATTTCATTTAGTCGATTTGTCATCAAATCATCATCATTCAAACATAACAAAAACGAGTGTTAGCATTCGCGGGTTGACTCAACTCATTTAGTATATGATCAGTCTCACCCTAATCTTCATGAGTGGAGTAGGAGCCCTACCATTCTTATATCTAAAAGCTTGTTTTAGTTTGAAATTAAAAAAGAATAACAATATATATATGCAACAAATTCAGAGTGATGAACTACCACACGTATTTTAACACTAATATGAAATCTAAACTCTCCAGAGCTCTCAAAATCCTAAGAGTCAAGTATATTCTCTGAGTCGTTAAAAATTCGTCCTTCGTGAATAGAGAAAATGCTCACGATATAGAATATCAACAAATCTTCCAATTGCAATCGTTTACCTACAAAATAGATCAGTTGATTAAACTCCAATAGTAGTAGGAATATAATTTATGAAAGGTTTTGGATAATAGAATTCTTTTTTTTCAAGTAATGCATACAAGTCACTCAGTTTTGTTATGAATCCAACAATTGACTCAATAGTGGAGACAACCTTCTGTATACAACAAGTAAACCATACCATATTAATAAAATTATTAGTATTTATTTAACTAATCAGAAAATATGATATGGTTTACTTATTGTATATAGAAGGTTGACTCCAATATGGAGCCAACTGTTGGCTTCATACCAAAACTGACAAGTCACCCGTTTCAAGAAACATAAATAAAAGACAAGTATCGATTTCGATCAATGCCAAAATCAAAGTTTTACATAGTTATTCTTTTGGACTTCAAAAGTTTTTATACCCTTTTTGAAGATTTGTCTCTCTTTGTTTTGAACCATTTTCATCAATTTCTCCACGGTCTCTTCATTAGCTAATGAAGTATTGTCGTGTGTTAGACCGACATAACCAATAGGTAGATTTCATAAAATGTATACTTTGATTAATTTTTTTTGATTTAGTCGTATCATTTTAAAGCTTACATGAGATTTTTCTAACGAAGTAAATCTTATAAAAATTCAACGGTCGAAGTTTAGTTAATAACCTAAAAAAAGGCTAGATATTTGTCAGCTTGTTTGACTCTTGACTACTGATCAGATAGACAGACTGTTGGATGTTTATAAAATTTAGCTGTAAGTTTTAATATGACACATTCAAAGAAAATCGAATATTCTGGTTGTAAAAAAACTTGAACAAAAATTTTTTCTATACACACGTGCGCTACCATCTTCATCGATCGTTACCGACATATTAATTTTCAGAAATCGATAAGGCATACCTCATTTTGTTCATATCGCAGTGTCCTTCAAAAGTGAAACCAATTTGAATGTTAGATTAAAATTTATCGTTAATTGGATTAAAAAAATATTTATCTTATGTTAGTGTTTTTAATAAAGGAGGCATGTACTTTGAAAGCTAATCTTAAGGCAAAATGTAAACAAGGCATAATTTCCGTGCTTAAAAAAAATTCCACAAAAATTATCTATATCCACTATTTAATTGAAAGTTTTTGCATAATATTAGAGGATAACAAAATTGAACCGAAAGCGAAAACCGAGCCGAATCGTACAATTCGGTACAGTTCAGTATTTTTAATATAAAAAATTTCGGTTCGGTTTCGATTTGATTTTTTCTTACACTGTGCTGCGGTGCGGTTATAGTTTTTCACTAGTTCGGTTTTGCACCGAAATGCACCAAATTGAATAAAATGTATAGAACCGAAAATCAAGCCGAATCGTGCATTTCGATGCGGTTTCCGATTATTTTAGTGTTAAAAAAATTTAATTCGGTTTCAGTTTGGTTTTTTTTTAAGATGCAGCGCTGTTCGTTTATTTTTTTGCTTGGTTCAATTTTTTTGTTTTTTGCGATTCGGTGCAATTTTTCACTGCACATTTGCTCACCCCTAGCTAAAACTACAAGAACACGCACCCGTGATTATAATATCTAAACATCCAACAAAACAAAGAAAAAGATAGCAAAATAAATAAATAAATAATAATAATAAAATACAATAATAATAATGACAAATAAAGAAAAGAATACAGTCGAATGATTTTCTTATGGAGCCATCCATTACTTTGACACCTGTCTAAAATGCATTTATTGCAGGACACGTGTCAATACACTATTTGTGAATAACTGTGGAGGACTCCATAAGCCGAGCCATCCGATGACTCTATAGCAAAACTAGTATAGTCGAAATGCACTTTTCTATCTTTTATAC